ATTGTCTGCTTCTCTGATCACAGGCCCAGTGGAGCCAGGGGCAATGCCCCCGCCCACTAGTTTCAATCCACACATAGCTAGCCTCTGGAATAGTGCCTGCCAGACCAGTTGGAGTCAGGGGACTATGCCCCCCCTTGCCAGTCTCAGTCCACTGCCAGGCAAGCCTCTGTTTGCAGGCTCTGTTGGAGTCAGGACACCAGGCCTGCCCTCTAGTCTCAGTCTACACACAGCTAGCCTCTGCTTTCCAGACTAGTTGGAGTCAGGGGACCATGTCCCTGCCTGCCAGTCTCAGTCTACTGCTTGGCAAGCCTCTGTTCACAGGCTCTGTTAGAGTCAGGGCACCACACTCCGCTTGCAGGACTCAGTCCTCACCTGGTAAGCCTCTACTCACCAGCCCCCCCTGGAGGCAGTGGAGCATGCCCTAGCCCTCCAGGCTTGATTCACACCCAGTAAGCCACAGCTGGAGGGTTCTGTTGGTATCAGGAGACCACGCCCTTGCTTTCAGGTCGCAGTTCACGCCTATCAAGCTTCTGCTCATGGGCCCAGCAGGGACCAGCCCTGTCTGCCAAACTCAGTCCACGCAGGGCAACCACTGTCCTGCTGTGGGTGCTGTCAGAGCCGGGGGTTCTGTACCCCATCACGCCAGACACAGCCTGAACTGAGGGTCAACACTACAATTGGCTGGGCATAGTCCTAACTAGGGGACTGCTCCTCCAGCTGAGTGTCCCTTTCTTCCTACACCCTGTTTCTTCCCTGTTAGAGTCCATCCTGATGGTTGGCGGTCTACACTATGCCCAAGTCTCTCAGGATAAGACCAAACACTCTGTGCTTTGCAGGGGACAGAACTTCAGACCACCATGCAAGAGGGAAAGGGTGGACTGGAGTTTGGACTTCTGGGGAAAAATGTCTGTTCAATTTTATGCCTGGCGGGGTGGTGTCTAGGTTCATAAGTGGAACCTCCATGGACAAGGAGATCTAGATTTTAGCAGCTCTCTCCAGCAGGGTAAAATGAGAGGTTTTTTGTTCCCTGCTCGTGGGCAGATAGCCTGCGGCAGGCCCCCAGCTTGGGGGAGGGGTCTCCCATCCTCTAGTCAATAGGCTTTGTACCTGTAATTTGTTTTCTTGAATGTTCTTCCTTGTAGTTAAAGCTTGTCAAACTTCTTTCTTGGCTCAGCTACATGGCTTCGTAGAGTCTCATTCCATCCAGTTTTTCTTCCTCTGCTCAGGAGCTTCTGATGAGGGTTGCTACCAGTTGGTCATCTTCCCAGAATTCCCCGAATTTGGTATTTTTGAGGTTCATCCACATGGTAGCCTATCTGGCTTTGATTTGTAGGTTATACTGTCCTCTTAAAAGAAATTGGGTATTTTCTTTTTCTATTTTCCA